ATTTTTAAAAATGTATTGGAAACCTGATCCAATGTCAATGAAATCTATTCCTCATGAAAGCAAGAAGAAACCCTTTTGTTTGCTGGATAATTCGAGTCTGATTTGTAGTTTCTTTTAAGTTAATGGAATTTCTTTGGTAATATATGTACTGAATTGTGAGTATATTTAATTTCTTCTTTTGCATAACTTGAATAGCAATATAGCACTGTCCTTATGAGCACCCCTTTATATATTTTACTAGTAAGATGGACAAGTTAGGTCCGTCACTGCAAACTGGAAGAGATATGCAAAGGTTTTATGACACTGATAAAAAACAGACAGTACCATCAAAAGGCCAAATGAGCCTGTCAAGAAGTATTACAAATCAGTGTGGTCTATCTATTTTGCAAAAGCAAAATTTCTCCTAAGCAGGAAACTGTGTGTGCCCTTAATGAACATCAGCTGCCCAATGTTGTCTTCCCTATAAGTGCTGTGGGAGAAGAGTAGATGATATAATTAGTGTCAGAGTGAGGTAAACAGCTTCCTAGGACAGGGAAGATTAAGGTTTCCCTCAGATCTGATTTCTTGTGTCACTGCTTGATTACAGATAAAAAGTAATGAATTTGCATCTTGATTGCAAATTGAAAGTAATGAACTTGTGCCTTTCTAAACACAGGATAAAACTGATTTGCATGATGCAGATCTGAAGTAAGTATTTAAGCCTGATTACTGTACTGGAGTAGGAGTTAGAGAAATATTTGACCTTAAGAGAATAAAATCACTTTGTCAATAACCAGTACAGTTATTGACAAAGTGATTTTATTCTCTTAAGGTCAAATATTTCTCTAACTGCTACATCTGTAAGGTAGCTGTGATGGCCCAAAAACATGAGGAAGGCAGACTTTGTCATGAAAAGTTAAGAGTCTTTGGTTAAGTCCAACTTACCTCATATAAGGATTTCTGGATATTCATAAATCTTTGTAAGATCGAAGTTTGGAAGGAAGCTTATTCCAATTATCCTAATAAAAAGGAAATGGATACTGAACTGTAGTTAAGCCTTTGTTTTATTTTGGAAGATACTAAATTCAAATAGGCTTCTTTTTCATATTGTAAAAGATAAATAAGTAATGAATTATCTGGCACATACATGGAATGTATTGCTTTAAATACTAGAAATGTGTCTGAATCTCTTAATGCTGTAACCAAAGCTGTAGTATCTTTGAGACAGAGACAATATTTGACTTTGGCTTTGAAGCAGCAAAAGAAATTCGAGGAATGGGAGCTCTTTTTAGACAAACAGAATTTCTTTATGCTTTTATTTTCTCCTTTGCACGTTTGGTTAGAGTTATAAATATGAACCATCAAAAATTAACTTAGTTTTTCATATTGTAATGCATTTTTAAGATGTTGAAAATTTAGCTTAGTTACTACAATTGCTTAAAATAGGCCCTATCCATAGAGCAGTGCTTTGATTTTTCTTCGCCAGCAAAATTCTTTAAAAGTATAGGCACTGCTTCTGTTCTTTATATAATCCCTGTTGTTCTTACTCAAGTATCTACTGAGTTCAAGAATTAAATCTGCCTTACTTGCAGTAGGTTATTCAGTATATTGCATGCCAACAGCATTCAGCAAGTGTGAATAGTTCCTAGCCATTCTTAAATTCAGCATAGCAGTGTGGATGGTTGCAGTTTATGGCAAAGGTTTCTGGACTTTGGGACGTATGCCATTAGTCAGCAGAAAGTTATTTATGACTTGGCACAGAACTATGAGCTGTTGTGGGTGACGGCTGTCAAGAATATCTGAAAACACTGTCTAAGAAGCAAGACGTATGTATCAGTATTTTAATATAGAATTTAACCAAATTATGAATGCATGCATAGAAAAAGTACCATCAAAAGGCCAAATGAGCCTGTAAAGAAGTAAATATTACAAATCAGTGTGGTCTATCTATTTTGCAAAAGCAAAATTACTCCTAAGCAGGAAACTGTGCCCTTGATGAACATCAGCTGCCCATGTTGTCTTCCGTATAAGTGCTGTAGGAGAGGAGTAGTTTCTTTAACAAATTACTTTCAGATTTTAATTTTGCAAGCACTGGTAATTCAACTAGATGTACAAGATAAGGGAAGGGAAGTCACTTTCAATCTTATTTATTTTAAAATAGAGAGTGGATAAAATTTTCTTTAGAATATGTCTAGATTTTAAGAGTTCCAGGTGGTATTGATGCCCAGACTCATCTGTGGTGGCACATGCTGAAATAACAAAAAATACCTGACTTTGGAAGGCATATGTCTCTAGAGATCAGATTGCAATTTCAATCAGGATGCAATTTCAAGATTTTTCACCAAACATACATGAAACTTGATGCAAATTGTGTATCTAAATCTGGGCTGAATAAAGTTGTAGACAGTGGTAACCTACTCCTTGTGTTGATTTACTCATCAAAAATGTCAGAAATCACAGAATGGGTAAGGCTGGAAGGGAAGTTTCTGGTCTGAAAATATATTTGAGATTTCTTCTATATTTTTAGAAAGCTAGTTGTGGAAAAAGACAGCAGAAAGCTGTGTTTATACATCTTGGAATGAAGATGTCCTGTTAAATCTTTAATGAGTGATGTTTTATCTTTTCATGAGACTTTGCCTCTTTGATATACAGGGTGGACTGTGCACTTTGAATGTGACTTTTCAGTACATCGATTTCCTCCCTTCTGCAGCTCAGTCAGTGGCCTGAAAGCTGTATTAAGACACTGATTTTTCTGAAATTTCTTTTGTATACAGCTAGTACTAAAGCACCATATGAATTTTCAGTGTACTTAGTGAGATGAGGGTGTATGATACAATTGAAACACAGGGAAAAATAGTGGACTGGTTTTCACGTCAATTCATTTCAGCTATCCAGGACTCCTAACAAGATGTGCAAAACTGATTCAAAGTACACTCTGAAGAGACTGCAGTTTAAGAAATTAATGCTGTTAGTTTTGAGAAAGTGTGTTGGTCCCAAGGTGAAAATCCAGAGAAAACTGAGTCAGTAATAATTTTGATTTTTTTTTTTTTTTATTACTTGGAGCTGTCTAAACAAGAAATGAGACAATTCTATTCTTAGCTTCATTGCCTGTTCATCCCTGATCCATGATGATCCCATAATGTTTCTGTGTGTGCAGCTGAATTTTTCTTTATATGCTTTTCTGTCTTCCGTAACAGGTAAAGTAACAGTCCAGTATGTTCTTTCTTCTATAGAGCTTTAATGAGTTTTACTCAATTATAAGCAAAGGTCTCTTTTCATTGTATGAGCACAAGATGAGTATTTAGCATCTGTACATCATAGCAGTGTAATTCAGGTTACATTTAGAACTTTTATTCTAGAATTCTGTAACTTCTGAAAGGCTGACATAACTTCCAGTAAGTTTTAATTCTGATATAACTGATGTAGTGCTTTTCAGTCTGCACAGTATTTTTTTTTTTCGATTAAGTCCATCTTTTAGAATCTCCTTGCAAAATGAGGGGGCAGACAGGAAAACTAATGGAGAAGGTTAGCGTCTGCCCAGTGACCCATGATCTTTGATCATTCCACTCTGCCTGTTGCAAAGAGAAGCCATCCTTGTTAAACAGAAATACTTTAGTTAGATATAATTTCAATTTATTTAATCTTAAATTTAGTTGCTGATTTCCACCATTGTGTTTAATGATTTGATCACTTTTCCACTGGTTGAAGTGATAGAGGGAGCTGAAAAGCCATCTTTATTCTATGTGCATGACAGAGAGAAATGTTTATGCAGCATGTCTATAATTCAGGAGTTATTACATGTTCCTCAGTTGTGTCAGTGCTACATTTGAAGTTACTGGTGTTTAATCCATTTCCTTATGTGTGGTTTGAAAACCAAACCAAGACCAGATAGTTTTTAATTATTAAAGGAGCAGTTAGGTTTATCTGAAGGGAACGAATGGTCTCTTGGTGACTAATTTTTTTTAATGGAGACTTGTTTTAGTTTTTTTAATGTCCTTGAGCAAGTCACAACTTAAATTTCATTTATGCATTGGTGTTAAAGAATGAGAACAGAAAAACTTGGCTATGCACATGATGTCATAGTCTGAAGATTTGCCAGAGAAAAAGAAATCCCAGTGAATGGTAATTCTATTGAGCAATGATGAAAACTTCTGTCCTTGATCATTAATGATAAAACAATGCCCCTTCCAATTTATTTTTTTAGTGCTACTCAAAATCTTTCAGGGAATTCTGATGTTTCTCTACTCATCAAAGCCAGCAGTAAGATGTTCTCAGTGTTTGGGATGTGCTGATCATTGGGATGTATTGGGATTGCTGGGATGTATACTAGCTTCTCATCATACTCATGAGTCCTGAGGGAAGCAGTTTCCATATCTGTGGTCATACTATTGACCCAGACTTCAGGAACACTGACAGTTGAGAAGAAATTGAGGCCCTAAAGCCCACCTGGATACACTTCATTTTTTCTCCTTCTGTTTATATTCATGAGTATAATTGTGCTTTGAAGAAAAAGGATTTACAGCATTATCTTAAGACGAAAAAAGTATTGTTCACTCACTTCATATTGGTCACAAACTATTGAAATTATGGTATCCTTTCTACAGATCTTAAACTATTGAAATCTGCAGTCATCTGCTCTCTATTTTCCTTAAAGACCTGCCAGGTCAAAAAAGTGACTTATGAATTGTCAGGGTAGACATTAGAATGTACTGAGCAACCAATAATGCAGGATCTACCTGTTAGGAAGTGAGACACATGTACAGGAAGGGACTTGCTGTTTCATTTAACTTGTCATTGTAAGGTTCAATTCATAACAGTTCAAACCATGGAAGTTCACGCCAAAGCTCCTCTGTCTGCTGTTGGTAGAAAATTAGTTGTTCTTTTTTCATACAGTTAACTAATGTGTAGATTGATGCACTTTTATATGTGTGTATATATAAATATATAAAATTTGAAAATGCATATTCTTGTATGTATTTCTCTGTATGTGTATAAATCATCAGATATGTCTTCTGTTTTAGAGGTGCAACAAAAACTCGGACATCAACCCCTCCTAGTGTGGCAAGAGCCATGAGCACAGGTGCTTTAACAAACAGAAGAAAAACTAGCAATTCAGACACTAACTTAAGGTAGCTTTTAACTTTGTGGATTTTGTCATTAATAGAGCCTTCATTAAAGGGGATTACTTACTACAAAAGAAGTTGGGGAATGTATTATTCTCTGCGGTTAATAGATGATCAGTATTATTTATGCTCAATATATTTTGCATGTTTATCATCTGACAGCACACCTTTGTCATCAGCTGTCTGAGATGTGCACAGAAAACTCCGTTGGAAATGTCAAAATACTGCTTGGGAGCTGTTGAAAAAATAACCAAATATTATTTCAGTAGAAACTGAATTAAATCTGCATGCTAAGCACACAAATTGTCTTGCCCTTTTAAACGGTAGGATGAAAATTGTATTGCTTGTTTAGCCTTCCTTTTTTTGACAAGCCATGTTTTAAGTTTTCAAACACTCCAGTTAATCTAAGTAGGCAATGAAATATTTGATCCTGCTCCTTGAACTCTGGCGTTTTTGTTTTCTTGCAGGGAAGGTGGGTATCTGGAGATACATTTAGCAGCCTGGGTAGCATTGTATATAAGATATACCACTGTAAATAGGAAGTGCAGGCCTGAAAATGACAGTGACAACAACTATATTCATTGCCAGGATTTGACTATTTTTACATTAAGTTGTACAGAACTGACTAACAGAGAATATTCTTCATCTGGGAATTTTCAGGTCTGACGGGAAAACTGGGTGTGACAGTGGAGATTACCCATCCTCAGTCAATGGAGGAAGTGCAAAAAGCAGTGAAGGAATTTCACCTGTACAGTTATCCAAGTTCTGCCATGAATGTGGAACAAAGTATCCAGTGGAATGGGCAAAGTTCTGCTGTGAGTGTGGAATTCGAAGAATGGTTGTGTGAACACATTCTTTAAAGCAGAAAGAAAACAAGAAATTGGAACATCTGCTATGTACTGTTGCATGGAAAGCTTGAGCACTCCATCCAGTTAGACTTTATGCTGCAAGCATCGAAACATCATTTTGCAATTTTCTGAGTGCAATCTTCTGGTTACACAATTATTTATAAACAATGATATATACTGTATATAAAAATAGCAGCTACCTAAACTGTGCCATTCAAGGAAATACTTTTTACTCTTTGTTGAAAATATTTAAAATTAAGGTAAAAATGCGTTAAGTAACCTAGGTAGCAGAAGAGGTTCAATGTTATTTTTTTTGTAAATCCTACTAGGCAAAGGATTTTTTAAATCTCTTATGTAGGGTAATACTTACCTATAGGGAACTAGCCATGAACAACTTGGGCTTCAAAGGTTTCTCTGTGGAGGCATTTCCTTCATCTGTGACAGTACCTTAGATGCTGTCTTCTAAGTGAAAACAACATGAGCAACTCCTTATAAATTCCTAGATAAAAGTGTCAAAATTTCGGATCTTTAAATTTTAACAGTAATATGCGAATTGGACTTTCCAGTTACTTCCTATGAATTTTTTAAAGAATTGAAGCAGAAACACTACCTGAGAATTCTCTTTGTATCTAAGAAGAAAGGCAAGATTTTCTTTTTGTGGCTTTCCATGTTCTGTTTTCCAGTAAAAACGTGTTAATATTTTTATGTATTTATAAGGACAAATATGGCATTAATTATATTATTATTCATTTTATTAAGTTCCTTTTGTTTGGCAATACTTGTCTTCCTCCTCCTGTGCTCCACCATGACTAGCCTATCTAAAGGTGTTGTGCTTTGTCCGATTTCCAAAGGTCCTGCTCATTTTTTTTCTTTTTCTTCATTTCCTCAAGGAAAGTCGAAGTCTATGCTTATCATACCTAAATGTTGAACTCTTATTTTGAAAACAGCCTTCTTGATGTATCCAATACCAAAAAAAAAAAAAATAGATCTATAAAAATGAATGCTATTAGAGCAGTAGATCTTGATGTAAGTAGTGAATCTTTTTTATTCTTATTCCTATGAAAATAGCGCAGCTTGCACATATGAATGCATAAGGGAGTAACTGTGCTTCACTGGCATATGTGCCAATACCTGACTTTTTTTTTTTTTTTCAATTTTGTGTATTCCCAATCTCAAAAGAGCAGTCTGTTCAAGTTATTAATATACTTCACATTAATCCATTAGGAAGAAGGGAGAGACTTAAAGTTGTTGGGCTTTTTACTAATTACTCAGTAAATTAGTAAATTACACATTTACTAATAAAACCATTCACAAGCCAAATCACTGAACTTGTATCTTAATGTAGTAATTTATTTTGTGAAGTTTTGCTTTGAAGCACTTGCACCATTTTCATTATGCGTGACAGAACAATCTGAAACAACTTAACTGTGCCTTTCCCACAGTAACTGCATTTTTTTGTTAGAAACTGGTACTTTCAGCTCACAAACACCAGTAGTTTCAATTAATTTAATTTTCTTACAACTTAACACAAATAGCATGATAGCATTATAATCATTGCTTGCATTCTCAAATATTGTGATTATCAATGGGGCCAATTTGGAAGAAAGTGTGATTGAAGAAAAGCATCTTCAAAGCACATACCAGTCTAAGAGAATGAGTGATTTAAGAGACTTGATGTAGTTATGTTGCAGGCCACAAGCTATTGATGCTTTAAAATTAGTTCAGTGAATGTCTTGCACTTTATATACAAATTTTTTTTTTAGAAATTATCCTTCATTCAGTGATGTCTTTTCATAATTGGTGTAAACTGGCTACTGAGCATGATATGATGGATGACTGGTAATGATAGTTAGAGCTGAGAAATCCTAGCCAGTTTATTTTCTTGGAGTTTAGATTCTAGGATCCATATTACGGCACATTCATGTCTGTATTTGGAAAAACTGGAATTCTGCATTCTTTCCATAGATAAGCCTGCTTTGGAAAACTTGCCCTGGGCTTGGGCCATGGAGATCTGCAGACTGAAGTATTGTGAGCTGAGAGTCCATCAGCAAAGATACCAGTCCAGAATAGGTTTGATCAGATAGTAAATTTACTATTACCTGATGAATTTGCAGTTGTTCCTGCTGGAAAATGCGTTTTTCCATTTATTAAAAATTCTTTCTACAAAGGGAATGTTTAGTACCGTGCTAAATACCTTTCAGATTTTCCAGGATTATTGTAACTGTAGGAAAAATCATATGGACTCTCCTTTGAATTGTCCGTGGCAGATTTTCTAATTTCAAATCAATGCTCATACAGTTACTGTATTTTCTGCTTTGTGAGCTGTTTATGAGATTCTTTGCTTTCAATGCAGCATTTAGTAAATTGAGTACCACAACTTTTGCTTTATTTATGCTTACGTGATTTATCATGAAGATTAGATAGGGAATTAACCTGAACAGAAAGAAAGGTTTTTAAAACTCATCTTTTAATTTGGCCCTACAAAGAAGTTCTATGAAACATAATTGACTATTGATAGTGACACTGGATAATGCATGTGTGTTGTAATCCACAGTAAATATAAGCAGACAACAAAATTCTTTTTGACTGTGCAGCTGGGTGCTGTATGGTAAGACTTCTGAGAGGCCCAGTATGTTTTGTGCTTATCAACTGGTTTTGTAACTGAATGACATAGGTTTCTGAAGTCTGTGATGTTACAAATCCTGGCCTGTATTACTCAAAGTATCACAAGCACAGATCATTGTAATTCCATCTCAGTGGATGTTTGTACAAAACAGTGGATTGATTTTCATAATGTCCCTGAAGAACTGAATGTGGGAAAAATTTGTTATATTTAAAGAAAAAAAAATTTCAGGGAGTTGGACTGAATTTTCAGTCTTCAGTGTATTACATGTGTCAGGAAGTTCCCAAATTTAATTTATTGGTAGTCTACATCCAAACCCTCCTGCCCTAGTCTTCTCTACACACTTATGCCTTGGTTTTCATGGGAGGAAAAAACATGAACTAGCACTGTCTGTTTATAGTGACATTTAGTGATGCAATTGTTGTGATGATTCCTATACCAATGTATAACCCTATGACAAATTTACTGTCTGCCATTTTATCTTCCTAATGTTCTTATTAAGGTTCTTCCATTCATTAAAGAAGGGGGCGGGGGGAAGATAAAATTCCATTTAAAGAAACAAGGAGGAGGCTGGTTTTGATGTTTGGCCTGAGGGAGTTTGCATTCCCATTCTACTTTTATGATCTTCTCTTATACAAAGGACCTCTCTGTGCCAGGAAGTAGTGCAGGATCATCAGAACTATGCTGATAAAAGTGCAATGGAGTTATGAAAAATGCTAGCTTCAATAGTAAAAACAGCATAGCATAAAGTTTAATCTCTATATGATGTACCTTACACAGGTTTATATTTATGCATGATACCCACCCTAGGTAGTTTCAGAACTGGAATCTCTAATTAGAATATGTGTTTATATTGATAATTAGTCTTACACATCACTGCAAGGAAGTGGGCACAGGGAGGTGCAGCACCCCTATTTCAGGTTGTAACTATGAAAGGAACATACAGGCATAATTTTTCAGATTTGCCAAAGAGGCTCGAAGAGCCCTTGAACTCCCTGGCAGGAGTGGGAAAGCTCCAGTTGAGAGTTCCCTGGCTGGGAGGGCATCAGGCAGGGGGAGCTCTCCATGGTGCTCCAGCGCTGAGCCTCTCCCGCAGTGCCAGAGCAGTGGCTACTCCAGTGCAGCCACACATCCTGTGCCTTCTCAGGATGGGAACTCCAGATTGTGTTGGAACACCTGACCCAATCTTTATGCATCATGGAGGTTCTCTGCCATCTGCAAGGGACTAGCTCCTAATTCACCATCACAGCTGAGAGCTGGTGCCTGAAATGCAGGGAGAGCATTTCCCTGATGCCTGCTTACCAAGTCAGTGGAAGGAGGTATGACTGCAGTACTGTATGTATGTGCACACTGAGGCAGACTATGTAAATAGTCTGCATATAAAATTAGACGGTATTATCTATGTATTGCAAAGGTCACAAGAAGTGCTAGTTTCCATCACATAGACTGTATATCTGCAAAGAACAAACGTGTTATGAGTGTTTTTTATCTTGGCTGAAAAATTTGTGTTTAGTAAGAGCACTTTTTTCAATTTAATTTCCATCCAGTTTGACTAAGCTATGAATAGTTATATGGGTTGTATGAGAAGGTAGAATTTTCATCTTTGGTAAAATTTATTTTAGTGACTGGTGAAAATAGCTTTATTGCCTTTCAAGTACAGCTTATTCCAACTTGTGATTGTTTTGTTGCTGGTTGGTTTGGTTGTTTTTTTTCCAACTTGCTAAAGTGAAGTTTGAGTGACCTAACTGTGTTGTTGGAAGAAGTGTTAGGTAAAAGACTCCATTAGCTGAATTCAGTAGTTACTTGGTTGATATTTTCGTTCCAGTATTCACAGTATAAGAGATTACTCTTGCATACTAGTTCATTTTTTGTTTTGTTTTGGGTTTAATTTTGTGGTGTTGTGTCAGTCCAGAATAATATATGTTTCTGGACAATCCTATTAAGTCCCATTCCACTTCATCTTGCCAGAAAACAGCTTCTTCATTTTTCTCGTAATAAGTGTTCATTCTTTACAAAAATAATCAGTAGGGAAATTACATTTCCCTACTTTGAACATTTGAGTCTGCAAATAAAATTCTTAGTTTAATATAGCTGAATATTGAACCCATGTTCTAAACAGAAGTGCATGGTTTACCATAGTTCTATATTTCAATTTGGTTTTCTGGCAGAACCATGAATGGATTTGGGTGGGATCAATAAAGTACTGAGTACACTACAACTGTTACAAAACTTTGTATGATTGCTCTAACTCTTGGTGTTCATCCTTCATATGACATTTAATGTGCTTCTCTTTATAAGTTTATTTATTAATGTTCTATGTTTCTGAATGGTGTGTTCATTCATGTGTTGGAGGTGAAAAATTTTTTCAGCATTGCATTTATTATGTTTGCCTTGTCCCTCAGTACATTAAATATTTGTTTGTGACCATCCAGTGAGGTTTTATTTTTGCCAGAATTCCTCAGTTTGTTTGCCTCTTATTTCATGTATTAAGTTTATTTTGAAGTGTCAGTTCTGTTTTAATTAATAAATGTAAATCTCCACCTAATGCTGACTTGCCACATGTTAACAATAAAGCATATATGCCAATAAAACTTCTTGTGATGTGCAAATATTTTTTGTCAAATGTAAAATTATCTTACATAACATAGCATACAGGTAGGTAATATAATTTCAGCCTTATAAATATTGTAATGTCTGATCTCAAGTACATAAAGAATAGGGTTTTTTAATTGAGTGATTTGAATTCCTAAGTCATCTTGAAAAATAAACCAGATACTTAAATCAGTGTGATCTGCTTATAATAAAGTTAACTTTGTATCTCCTGTTTCCCCAACTACACTGAGAACTTAGTTTATGTAGAGCCCATCAGTGTGACATCTGTAGTATTTCATTTTTTTCTTTTTTTTTTTCTTAATAATAAAACTGAAAGGGATAGTAAACTTAAAGCTTGATCTGAGTTTGTTTTCCTTCTGACATTAGAGCACTGTTTTGTTGATGAAATTATTAAGAAAAAAACCCAGAAATTTATATTTTTCTTCAGGAGTTCATTTATGTGAGCAGAAATTACAATAGGGGTTTGGATTGATGATTTTGTTTTTTTCCCTAAGTATGGATGAAGAGACATTGATTCCTCTTTACATTCCTTTTTTTAGGGGAAACTTCCTTCTACTAAGCTCTTTAGTTTACTTGGAGAGATACAGATTTGAAGGGTAGACTGTATAGGCCTGTTTCCTATGGGAAAGGAATTGACTGGATGGATACAGCTGGAAAGTTGTGGTCAGTGTCTCTGTATCCAGGTGGAGGCTGGTAACAAGACTCTTGTTTTGGGACATTTGTTTTGGTGCTCTTTTAGTATCTTCGTCAATGACACAGTGAGATGGAGTGCACCCTGAGCAAGTTTGCAGATGACACAAAGCTGAGCAGTGCAGCTGAGACACCAGAATGACAGGATGCCATCCAAAGGGACAGTTATAGACTGCCATAACTTCTCAAATACCATAGATAGTGACTTCCTCTGCCAGTTTCCTCAGAACCTGCAGATGTATTAAATCTGGTCCCATGGACTTGTGCACCTTCAGGTTCCTTAAATGGTCTCAAATCTGGACCTCGTGCAATAATATTGTGAAAATCCTTTTGATTCAAATACCTAATTTTTTATCCTTGACACCTTCCCATAAATTCCATGTACTTCTAAATCATGGTTTTGACCTACTCATAATTCTTTTCTATGGCTAAATAAATAAATAAATGTCTAAATGAAAGTGGCAGGGAGGTAGGCATGATGGTCATAATACCATGCACAATTTTCGTCCCTTTGCCAATTCCTGAAAAGCACTTTAGTGCCACATTTGTAAGTTCAAGAGACCGGAGCAAGTTCTCAAAGGGAAGGAACAAACCAAAGAGCACAAGTCACTGCATTTAGCTGTTAGTGTCTGCGTGTAAGTGGTGACTCAGGAAATTTGGCAACAAGAATCAGACAGGCAGGATATTTATTAAGAGAAATAATAAAAAGAAATCCACAGTTTCGTAATCACTATTTAAATTTCTGCTCTAGGTCTACCCTTGGTCTTTCTCGAAGGAAAATCGCTTTATTTCTCTCAAGACTTAAGTTGTGGACTGCTGCTTAAGTAACTTAAACTGACTGACCTTTCAGTTTTGTAGTAGCTAGTACTTGCATCTGTGTATTTTTACTTTAATTCACACTGCCCTTTCCTTGCCAAGTGGTTATTAGGAAATAAGTGCTGGTTTTCAACTGTTCCTGAATTTCCAAACTATATCAAAACAACTGTTCTTCAGTCTCAGGGACCAACTGAATCCACAATCTTCTGGGTCATCTTTCAGAAGAAGGGATTTCCCATCCTTACAATTGTGGTTATGTTCTCTTTATCTGCCATATGATACTGGGAGATGTTTCCTTTCCCTGTTCCATAAAAGATTTATGGGTTGGGGTTGGTTTCAGTTTTTTAAAGCATTTGAATTTAAAGTTGTGATCTCTTACAGGAAGAGCTAAAGAGAATATGTGGAAGTCTCAGACACAGTTTACAAAGTTACCACTCCTGCCTCATCATCACCACAAATACCAGGGGGATTGGAGAGGGTGCATTTCAGGAGAGCATGGCATGCTTGCTTTGCTCTTAATCTCTTCCCTCTCAGATTCAATGCAGCAGTCTTATTCCAGTCAAATATATAAAGCAAGTGCTGTTTACAGTCAACTGAGCAAACAGTTCTTTGAAGCACATAACATGCTTTTTCAGGTGTTTGTTCTGAATACTAAAACCTTTTCAGAGTAGTTTCACGGAAAAATTCTTTTAGCACAGATAAAACAGTTTATATTAGTTTACTTCAAACCAGGAAACAACAGGCTGGCTTAACTAAAGCTTTCCTGAAGTATTTAGTTCAAGGTAGATTGCTGGTATGGAAATGTTTACCTAAACTGAGCAGGTTACAAGCAGCTAAGAAATGGATATCTTAAAACAGGAAGTGCTTTGAATAACTGGCTATCTCTGGAAAAAAACTGAAAAAGGAGTCATGGAAGTCAAAAATTGAACAGCCCAATTTCATAGAAGACAAATATTTTATTACCAAAGGAGTTATATCAAAGTAAACTGCAAAAGAGTAATAAACAACTATAAAAATACTTATATTTATTCAAAATTAAATACGAGCACTTTATTAGTTAAATGCCAATATATTATTCTCTGACAATATTCACACATTTTAAGTCATTTTTGCCTAACATCTTAAAACATGTTATATAAAATAATTGCATATGAGAAATCACAATCTGAAGCTAAAGAGTTCTAGCTCCTCCTGCAGCTAACTCTGGATTGATCAAATACATGAGTGTAGTGCTGTTTCCAGTCAACTAAACAACTTATATTCAGGCATCTCCTTTTTCTTCTTCCACAAGATTCAGTTTTGCCTGTGCTTCAGCCAGCAGAAGCATGCTGCATCTCTCAAAAATCAGTACCCTTCCAAAGTTTTTCAAAAAGCCAACTTTTTCTCTGTTTTTCCAAATCAGATAGCACACCCATCAGATGCACACTGAAAACACTTCTGTGTCAGGAGAACATATCCAAGATAGGCTGCTGCTTTGGTAAATTGTTACTTTTGGTCCTTGATGCATTTTGCATAGATAAAAAGAAACCAGCTACTTTTTCATACTCTTTTCTTTACCTGTAGATTCCAAGATGTTTTTATAAATTCCAGCAGACATGTAAGTGGCTGCTTTCATATGACAGTATTATAAAGTTACTTGAAAAATCAGAAATTCAAAGTAGTTTCCATAGCACAAAGGTTGGACACAGAGTTCTGCAGAGTTCTTTGTTTCAAATGCTGGTCTTCTATTTCCACTTCTTGGACTTCAGCAGCTTGGTTCAGCTATTTCTGTCATCTTCAGGAACAAAGTACAGTAGCCTTCCATCAGAATTCTGGCATAAAGTGTTCATATAAGCGAGCAAGGTTACTTGAAGAATGCATATAAAATGCAAATATACCAAGTAATGCCACTTCAAAAGAAAAGAGAAGGATTCACCTGGAATCACCTGAAAATTACTTTTTCAAATTTATTCCAGCAGGATCGAAGGCTAGATATATTTTCTTTCAGTTCACAAACTTCTTGGTTACATTTCTTTTTGGACTGTTCACCTGTCTCTGTATCTTCTATACTAAATACCTCTAGGCAAACCTGAAACAGAACAGATTGTATTGTTATCTGAGAACTGCAGCTGAATACTGGAGAGACCCTGCCCATGGGAATGAGAACTCAGCACAAGCAAGGACACCTGAAACCAGTGTGTCCAACTGAGAACATGTACATCCTCTATTAGAGATAAAAATTTATCCTCCACTGTCTGGAGGACTGAGAAAATAAAGCCAATTAAATTGTGAGTCAAACATTGACTATATGTGTTGAGACTAGTGGAACAAGACAGACCAGTTCCAGGGGCTGGTGCTGTGCACTAGAATTCAGGATCTCAGCCAGACAAAACTAATGTGGTTCGTGTTCATATTCAATTACTGCTCATAAATTTTTGCTAAATTACTTTAATTGGTCTTTAAGTAAAACCAGGAATCCATCATGTTAGGCAGGGGTGGCAAGAGTGACACTGACTTCTATGACATGACTGAGACACCTTTAAAGTAAGGCAAATGTTGGATTCACCAGAGGTGACAAAGCAAAATATGGACACCAACATTACTTTAAAGATCTTGTCCCAGATTATAAGTCTCTCCACCTCCAGGAGAACAATAAAGAGTTAAATGAAGCCTTCAATCCCTCTGTTTAAGCATTATATTGTTTGGTGCCTATGTGGAGACTTTTTGATGTTGGTTAATATTTTTGTGTTCAATAGGTAACACTGAGCCACACTTAAAAGAACACTCTTCCTTTGCTACAGTAATGTGTAGATCACTGTGCTACATATAAGTGGCACCTCAAAAAGAAGATTCTGCCAGACTAAAAAATCAAATATTATCATGCCTAATAGTTCTTGTTGAATTTGAGACATCGTGGTTAAAATAAAGACCAAAGAGATTACAGAGAAGAGAGGATCTCACCCTAATTGTTTGTTGAAACAAACCAAATTAAACATTACTCTTAGGGTTGGTGAGAAGTTACAACTCTGACTCTATACTCTAGAGAAGTTTAAACGCCTTCTTTGCACAAGTCTGATTGTTGTCTCTCACTGGAGAATTAACTCAGCTATTTCACTTCTGAACCAGAGCAGATATCTTCACCACAGCCTTCCAGATGATTGTCTTAGTCTTTGCACTGGGCTTAATGTCTATTACAAGACAAATGCGATAAGGAAGAGCAAACTTCCTCTGGCATAGAACATGTGCAAGACAATTGTATCTTCTGGAGGTGAATGTGATAGTCTGTATTGAAGAGCTCTAGAAAATAAGGCAAATGGTTAAGCTATTACTCACTGAACGTGAGTGCAACTCACCTTTTCTCTTTTAGTTCTACATTTACACTGTAGAACTTGTAATGTCCCACAAGAGACGAATGCTGCTTTCTCTCTAAAGGCTTTGCTGATTCTCCGCTTGTTATAGAACCTGAGCATATTGCACGCCATGCTCTGTAGTGATTCTATTTCCTGTCAAGAGAGCAAGGAAAATATGTCCTGAAAAGTTTGTGCATCGTTATTTCTTTGCAATGTCGGTTTATGTTTAAAACACCCCAAACCCTCCATCAATTACTTTTTTGGTTTCTTTTGCTTTCATAGTGCAAATCTTTTTCAACAAAACACATAACTAATCTGACTTACCTGCCATCTTTTCGAGATATTTAAAGCAGCAATTTTTAGTAGTAATAATAGTGGTATAAGGATATTAGGGAGAAACCACAGCTGTAATCAAATTAATTAATGCAGTTATGAAAACGAATTATTTTTGCAGACAGGCCTTTTATCAAGTAATGATAAAATCTGTAGCAAAAGCTGACAATTGTGCTTTCTGGCATTTGAGATTTACCCAAACTACTATTTTAAAGCTTTCAGGTCTGAAGTGAAAATCTGAGCTAATATAATTTTCTGTAGAAAAATAAAAACAGAGATTGGGAAATTTTAATGTTTACTTCCATTGGCAAAAAGAAAAGTGTTGTGTCTGTTTTGGATTAAAAATATAGAAGAATCTTCATAGTTGGAAAAAAAACCCCCACATTTCTTGGATATGGAATTGCTTAATATTTAAATGCTTAAAATATCAATTTACTGGTCACATCATATCATTTCAGATTTAAAAAACAAACCATCCTAAATATTGTGATTTGGCTTTTAAAACTATATACTACCCTATCACACTATTTTATCCTGGACTGTACAAAGAACTCATTTCGGTTTGTCTTCTCTAAATTCTAAAAAGTTAAATTTTACCTCAGTATCATTGCAGAAAAACACTTTGATATTTCCATATTTTTTATTCTTGCAGCACCTGTCACGATCCTCTGCAGACATATTTACCTGTAAAATATCACATATGTTTAGACATGGAAGTACTGTGTCAGTGCTCAGTCACCCTCACAGTAAAAAGCTCTTTCCTGGTGCTCAGAAGGAACCTCCTGTGTGTTGGTGTGTGTGCCCACTGCCCCTGGTCCTATCACTGGGCACTGTTGATAAGAGCCTGGCTCTGTACTCTTTGCCCACTCACTTGAGGTATTTCTACACATTAATGAAATCCCTCTGAGCCTTCTCTTCTCCAGGCTGAACAGCCCCAGCTCTCTCAGCCTCTCCTCACCAGACAGATGCTCCAGTCCCTTCAGCATCTTAGGGGCCCTTTGCTGGACTCTCTCCAGTAGCTCCGTATTTCTCTCATACTAGGGAGCCCAGCAATGGACACAAATCTGTTCAATTTAAATCTTAAGTTCTCTTGAATTGCTTTGTTCTTTGGAAATTTTGAAACATAGAGCAATGTTTAAATCTTACATTTGAATTGTGATGTTGAGTACATTGAATACAGTGCTTGTCAATGTTTGTCACAATGAATACTTGTCTCAGCTCTAAACAGATGGTAGCATTCACTTTGCATATGTAATAACAGAAAATGGCCTAAGCAACATCACATGGTCTTTTGCCTGATCTTAATATTTTATCAATAGTTTATTCTCTCTTGTAGTTTTTCCTTCCACTTTCACACTTGTCATCAAGATGACAATGGAAGCCAACTCAACAGAAGCTTTGTTTTCTTCAGCCTGTATCCAGACATTCCAGTTAAGCCAAAGGGCTTCAAAAAAGGCAGCTCACAACAGTACTGTTTGAAATCTCTTCACTTATATTTTATGTGTATGAGCACATTGGACAGTTAATTCTTAAAGTTTTTCTGCAGAAATTGCCTATATTTCAGAAGTTCACCCAAGATAAAAAGAACTTTATCCAGAAAGTGTTTTCAAAACCAAGAGTTTAGAGAGTCAAATATTCAATGACAAAGGAAAAAAAAACACAAAACAACAATACAAAGTAAAAAAACCCAAATCACCAACATCGGGAAGCTAATGCACATCTTTTCTTGCACCACAACAGATATTGCTCTAGTCACAGCACCAGAATTTATAATTATATATATATACATATATTTATATATATATATGCATAATCACCCTAAAAACTATAAATCTGTCACTTCATTTGCTAACCGCTATGAGATTTTCCCATCCTCTCTAGTTTCCTCAGATCACCTTTAATATAATATTCAGTAACCACATCTGAAGGCAGTTTATTGGCTGTGTCTAAACCAACCTAAAGGAAACCCTGACCTCAGAAAAGGCATTAGGAAAATTTAATTACCTTTTACAGAGATCTAGTATATGCCTCACTATCCTGCTCTGCAGCAAACCCATAGCTGCTCCAAATATCTGAGCAACTGAAAGCTATTGACTTTGGCTCTGCAGTTGCAGGAAAGGTACACAATATTTGCTGTTAACTTATAGTGACAATACACTGATTATATAGAGAAGAAAAATTTCTCTTAAACAGGGGAAAGTAAAGACAGAAAAAAATGAAGAAACTTGCACAGTAGTTGCTTGTGTATGCCGTCTAGGAAGTAAAAGCTTCAAAGCTCAGTACACTCCCATTAGTTTTCACAAACATAATTCATGAAGGTTTTATTTATGTATTTATTTTGGTAACTCTTTTAGTTTTCATACAGTCTTTTATATAAACCCCTACATCTTAAAAATATCAATAATATTTATTGCAACTAGAAACCAAAACAAAACAGCAAAGAAAAAACAACTTTCAAATTGTATCTGGAATAATAGTATTTCTCCATTCCAATCCTCGATGGCACCATGGGGCACCGACTGCATCAAGCCCCATCCTACAGCAGGACAGTGACAAGGCATTGCCCTATCCAGGCCAGGACAGTCTCCCAGCCTCCCTGACCCTGCATCTCGAGCGGGGCTGGGATGCACCTCGTGGATCTCCACCACCAGAAGGCAGCAGGATCTGCCTCCCAGAGGGTGTTATTCCTTCAAATCATTTTCTCTTATAGGTCAGCTATCTTCTAACTGCTCACCAAGAGAGTTTATTTTTTTTCTCTAGGGAATACTTGTCATTGTCAGAAATAAGACAGCAAACTAAAGGGAATATTTATCTATTCTAACGTGGTCATTAATATTCTCCCCAAATTTGATGCCTCATTCAGGATAAAGTCATGTATCTGCAGAGAAATATCTTTCTTCATAATCTCAAACAATATAACATGATCAAAATGTTAAAAGATCATTCCCTGACCCTAAAGGTATTTTGTTTCCAGATGAGGGTTGATGTGTCTTGGTAGAGAAAGGTTGGAAACCACTGCCATAATGCTCTGAAGGATGGTGGTAGTCCATAAGTGTGAAGAAATGCAATGACTCCTGATTTTAACCTTGCAAAAAGGCTGTATATTATTTCTATTTCATGCAAATAGATTAAGACTGCAACAGCATGGTGAATTCTCATTAATGACAGTCAGAAAACTCACTTTTTTTGTGGGAATGCCTCTATTAATATAACTGTGTTAAGTGTTTCCCCATGGAAGTGTTCTTGACAGATTAATTTAATCGCTAATAATTTGTGAAGAAGAATTGAAAGGTAAATTTTGGGCATGGATTGGTAATCTGTTAAGAAACTATTTTGCAAAGCTGTAATAAATGTGGCTGATGAAGCCATAATGGAGGAGATTTATACATGAGAATGTTAAGTTCTTCTCTGCTGCCATCTAGAAAAGATCATTTTTGTTGGCTAAACAAGATATGCTAATAGGTTCAAAGAAACCTATGAAGATACAAAGAAGGTTTTACTGTCCTATGAATTTTGTGCCTTTGTGCATTTGTATTCAATGGACAACATAAAACTTCAGTCAAGAACTCCAATTAGTAGAACAAATAACAGGTATAATGCTTTCTTCTCTTAATAAAAACATACAAACAGAAGCAGTCATGAAATTACTTTAGAAAAGAGTACCTTTTAATGAACTATATGATGTATGGCCTAATGGTACATGTGCCTAACTACATGATGCACAGGCACAAAAAACTGTATTACAGTATTCGTACATGCAAATAGGCACTATCCAGAGATTTCGGAGATTTTAAAGAGACTGAATTGTTGCACGCCCTCAAATAAAACCACCATTCCAGCATAACCTGTGACTTTAAATTGGTCTTTTATCATGTTTTAACATTAGAGCTTTTATTATTAATTGTTGGCGTCTAAAAATAGTCAACATCTTTTGGAAGCCCAAGAGCTACTACCTACCAGCTCATTGATGTCGTGACTTAGTATATTCTCATACTTCACACGGATTTCAGTTCTATTTCCCATTGCACAAGTAGATGCATTCACTGGAGACAGAACAAGGAGCAGTGGCAGAACTGGTAATGTAGATCTAAAAAAGGCTGGATTACAGGAAGAATGGTTAGGTACGTATTAACATCACAGATTGTGTGCTGTATTAAGAAATACATTCTGTAATTTGTCAAAATGGTTTAAAAAGGATCTTTGTACAACCAAATGACTTGTGCCTTTTGCTAGAGGGAAGGATTCAGCTCCAGATTAAGACACTCTTTGGGTGTCTAAACTCCCTCATACCCAAAGATGATTCAGCCAGTGTGGGTAAGAGCCTACAACTATTGAGCTGATTAGCTACTTGGTGACTGCTTGGGCTGAATTCATCTTCAGAGTTCACTGCAAGCATTGAATTTTATGGGACTATAACCACATAGGACAAATGTAGAGGAGTATTTTAATCATATATATTGAGACATTCAAGTGTCTTAACCTGCAGCTGAAACTTGTCTTGGCTGTCCATTTTTTCTTTGATAACATCTACAAATCCCCATCAATACAGTCTATAACAAAGGTGTGTTTAAACACATTTTCAGGCTTACCAAATGTACAAATCTTTACTACTGGCCATAATATGAGATAAAGCAGCAAGACAACCTTCTCTGCAAGATTTTTACAATCTTTTGGAGCAAACTTCACTGCCTCTCACTTTGTTTCTCCCTTTAGTGGACCGCCTTCCTTTGCTCTGACCCCTGGTCTTCTGTCCTTGCATGACATGCAGGAAAATATGAGTTCTGTGAGGATGGGCAGAGAGAAAAGACCAAAATATCAAAAGAGCCTGAAGAGACTGACAGAAGGCTGCAGGTACTGGGAATGAAGGTACGAGTACATGATAATAGAGACCAAGTACACGATAATATGTGATTAGGAATAATTGGATTCTGGCCTATTGCTAGTCTGGCTAGGATAAATTGAAGATTTTGGAAAAAAAAAACAAAAGTAGAAATTTATGTTGGAGGACTAGCAAAGGTCATAGCAAGTTGCTAGAGGAGTATACAGTGTTTCTGCCCGTCTCCACTACTAAGAACAACTGCATATGGAGTAGCTGTGGGATAGCAGCAAGGAAAGGAAGAGGGGATGCCCTGGTCCCAGCTGCTACTGTCCTTCCTCTCTGGCAAAGATGGGCTGTGGGGTACAGCCAGTCCAGCACTCAAGAGATGGGCACCTCTGGACTTGGGCGTCACTAGTAAATCACAGACTTAGAGAGGAATTGTGAACAAATAAGAAAACAGCAATGACACTTATTGACCCATCAAACTTCTGCGATGCAAAAACCACAGTCACACCACGTGTTCACTGCCATTCAAAGAAACAGAGTCCTAACAGCCCATCCCAGCCAACGCCCACCACACACAGCTGACTGAATCCTCAAAGAAGAATACATGCTTTTCCTGGCTAGTGAAGCCTTCTCTGTCTGATAGATTGCATGTGAACATGCTGTGATGCTGCATCTCTGTCCTAGAAACAGGACTGGAATAATTTCACCTGTACAAGCTAAATCACAGAACTCTTGTGGCAAGCTGCCTGACAAATTTTAATGGGAAATTTACTGGGTTGAAAACCCGATTTTCTGACCTTTTCATACACTGATCAACTGAGGTCTGTGAATGTCTCAAAAAATGTAGCCTAATAAGCTAAGTAAATCTTAAACGGATCTTACATGTAGTAAATTTAAAAACTCTGTAAGGTGACTCCACAATGATCTTCAAGCTCCAAGTACACACACTTGGCTTCTACAGAGCTTTATATTTGTAAATCTCCATGCTAACTACATCTCTGTTGAATGATTTATCAGTGTGAAGGACTAAGATTTAGTATTTTAAAAGACATTTACAAAAAACATTCAAGAACTCAGTTATAGGGCAACATTTTTCCAATCTCCCATTGCACCTCTTACTTCCAGTGAAAAAGATTAACTGCAAAACTTGTTTGCAAATAAGGTAATACAAACTGCTTTTTAGGGACAAAAATAGCAATCCTCTAAATTAAAACAATCTGACTCCATCACTTTAAACTTGATTTGTCTGACAACAAGTGGAGAGAAAAGGTGAAACATGCAAAGTCACTTCAATTTTTTCATTTTTACTTTCTCTGTATTGTAGAGATTGCCAATCTTTTTTAAATTGGGAAATTACAGAATAAAAACAGGTCATGTGTTGCACACTCATTAAGTCCCTTGAGCCACTGTAGGATGGTGATCAAATCTTTTCAGACATTCCTAAATGAGTCCTCTGGAAAATTATTAGGCAAGTGTCATAAAAAATTCTAGGAGATGTAGACTGAAAATTGAAAGGGATTTTCTTAAAGTTAGGCAACTTCGAAAGAATGGGAGTTTATGGCACCCCATATGGCCAGCAATTCAAAAGAGAGAGCATGTATTACTGGCAATAACCTATCTTTCCAGTAAACTCCCAGAAAGTCCTAAATCGTATTTGGAAAGTCCAAAAAATTCTCCTAGAAAAGTCAGGAAGAGCTAACACTCCAGTATTTCCACATATTAAAACCAAGCCAAAACAAATCCTCTAGGCTTTTTAATGCTAAAATCCCCTCCTGCGCATACAGCCCGAGGCACGTCCTCGGCGGCACCCAGCGGGATCCTTGCAGCAGCCCCGGTGCCCCACAACCCACTCCAACCTCGGCGGGCCGTTCCCTCTGTCCCCTTCCTTCCCCGCGTCCAGCCCGCAATCCTGGGGTTCACTGCCAGTCCTGTTCCCTCCGTCCCGCTGGACCCGTGTGGAGGGGCGGGCGGGCGAGCGCTCCCACCCGGGGGCGAGGCACCCCCGGCGCTGCGCCGCACCTGCTCCGGGCACACCGCGGGGCAGCAGGTGCCCACGGGAAGGGAGATGCCCAGGGGAAGGCAGATGCCCAAGGGAAGGGAGATGCCCACAGGAGGCAGGAGCCCACGGGAAGGGAGATGCCCACGGGAAGGGAGATGCCCACGGGAAGGGAGATGCCCGGGGAAAGGGAGATGCCCACATGAGGCAGGAGCCCACGGGAAGGCAGGTGCCCACGGGAAAGGAGATGCCCACGGGAGGCAGATGCCCAAGGAAGGCAGATTCCTACGGAAAGGGAGATGCCCACGAGAGGCAGATGCCCACGGGAAGGTAGGTGCCCACGGGAGGCAGATAACCACGGGAGGTAGGAGCCCCAAAGGAAGGGAGATGCCCACGGGAAGGCAGGTGCCCACGGGAAGAGAGATGCCCACGGGAAGGCAATTTCCCACGGGAAGGGAGATGCCCACGGGCGGCGGGAGCAGCGCGGACCGGCGCGCAGCAATGCCTCCCCCGCCCCGCGCTGTCCTGCTGCCTCTGCCATTCCCGAGCTGCCCTTCCCGGCAGCAGGCGTGATGGGAACCGGACTCTTTTACTTTCATTCTACGGGGAAAGGAGAGGAAAAAAAAGCAAAACTGGGAATTTCCCTGGCAGTCACCAAGGGTTTAAAAGGCACCGGGAAGCACCGTGCGGCAGAGCGGGCGAGGCGGCGGGGCCGACGGCTCGGAGACAGCGGAGCAGGTGAGGAGCCGGCGCGGCCGGGGGTGCGGAGCAGCGCGGCGGAGCCCAGCCCAGCCCAGCCCAGCCCGGGGCAGGTGAAGCGGGGCGCCTTCTGCGGAGCGGAGCGGTGCGGTGCGGGACGCGCTCCTTACCATGGAACATGGTCCGTGGGGAGGCTGTCGGGGAGCTGCCGAAGGGTCCGCGGTCATGGTGGCGGCGCCGCCTCGCCCATGACGACTCCGCAGCCCGCGGAGCGCCGCGCAGGGGCCGAGAGGGGCCGCGGGCCGGGCCGGGCTCAGCAGCCCCCCGGCGCCCGCCCGCCCGCGGGGGCCGCGGCGCTGTCCGGAGCGGCGGCGGGGCGGCCGGGCTGTGCCTTTCCCATGGGGCTCCGCCGGCCGCGGGTACTTTCACTTTCTGCTCCGCCGCGGCGGTGCTGCCCGCGGGCCGGCGGCGGGCGCGGGCGGCTGCGCGGCCCCCGGGGCGGGCGGCATCCCCGGAGCGCCCGGGGCCGGGCGGAGCGGGGAGCGGCAGTGGCGGGGCCGGGCCGTGCCGCGGGGGTTACATAGAGCCCCGGCTACACGCCCAGTGCCGTGTGTGTGTGCGGCCGGGGAGGGAAGGATGGATCTTGGCACTACGCGTGGAAAGAGCCGCTCATCCGCGGGGAGGATATCCTTAAAAAAAAAAAAAAAAAAAAAAAAAAGGAAAAAAAAGTCATTGCGTGTTGGCGTGTTGAGGAGTCGCTTTTTCAGACGAGAGCGACTTAGCTTGAAAGCTGATGCGCTGCCCTTTCGCTCCCTCGGATGCCCTTGGATGGGTTGTGGAAGGCGGGACTGCCAAGAGGGCTCTGTCTCCGGTCAAGGGTTACCCCAGGCTGTTGGCCTGGGCTCAGAAGCGAAACGTGGATGGCTTCTGCAGAGTCCGTCGTCTACACCCTTCCCCCCCACCCTCCTCTTCCCCCGCAAAATAACTTTGTGGAATCTGAAAGGATTAAGAAAGGATGGTGAATGGCTCAGGAAGGTGTTTCAGCCTGGAAGACACCCAAATTCTAAAAGGCAAACCTGTAGAAAGGTGTGCTTTTCTAAGTAAATTCAGAATGCAAAAAATTTCATGTGCAGTTTAAAAGGCTTGGAATAGAACAAGCTATGAAATATCTCAGTAGTGTCCCCTTGGCATCTGCCCAGAAACTTTCTGAGTTTTGAATTCTACATCACTTTTCCTGCTCTGCACGAGTACAGAGAGGTGATTCCATATCCCCTCTTTCTTCTCACAAGAGCGCGTTTCTAAGGCGAGATAGATAATGAGGTGTGAATGTTAAGGAGCAAATATGTGGAATGCTCAGGATAGTTTCCTCCCATTCTCTTCAACTGAAACTTTGCTGCTTCCTTCCGGTGTGAGGAGGTCCTTAGTCCCCTTTATTGTCTGTGAATTAGATTCTGCTTTTGATTTGCTATACATTTCTCATTTCTTTTTCTTTGGAAAAGAATTTAATCAAGTCTTCTTCAGAAGTATTCTGTCAAGAGTCAAGAGGGATGTGGTTTTTAACCCTTTCATCTTTGAGCTGCTCGATTTTACTAATGATGGCCCATGACTGTGGCTTGGGCAAAGAACAGAGATCAATATCAACACAGTTCCACACAAGGAGCTTGCTTGTTCCTCAAATGAGTGCCAAGTTGGATGTGATGTATTTTTCATTCTTGAATTTGAACAAGGATTTTGCCTCATTAATGGCTAAATTGTCTAGTTCTTATTGTGTCTTAAGTTGTCACTTTTTTGCTTGTTTGCATTTACTGTTTTCTTTTTTCTCTTCTGTCAAATATTGTCTGAAAGCATCTCTGTGCATTTCAATTTGGTGGCATATGCAACTCAGAGAATGCCACAGGACTCTTCCTTTGCGGGGTGATTAGTACCTGGCGTAATGGAAGAAAATTTGTGAGTATCTGTTCTACAATCTGGTACTTGGAGACTTGCACTTTCAATAGTGAAATGTTTTGAAAAAGCTGCACTATGAAGCTCCAGTCATGCAAAACTGTATCACCGAGATCAACTTTCCTTCTAGGAAAGCAGTTCTTCTAACTTCTTGCAATAGTACACGTGTGTTCACAAAATGAGATAGTTTATGCAGATTGTCAGGGTGCAAAATATGAAGGAAAATCTTCTTTAGCTGCTTTGTTTATATTAGTTTTCTGGCTGAAACATCAGGAAGACTGCTAATTGCCTCAATTTATTTTATTTTCTTTAAATAATGTAATTGATGGAAGAAGTCAGCATAGTAGCTTAATGAATTAATGGAAACATGGCTGAAAGGTGCTGCTGGAGTCTTTGGCAGGAGTTTTGCTCTTTTCTTCAGTAGCAGCAAGACTTTTTTTTTTTTTTTTTTAAAGAAGAAAAGTCTGGTAAATGTATAAATGTATGGGAAACGTTTTCTTCAGTCAGTGACAAATAGATGGTGTGATCTGTACTTTTCCCCAAATCATGCATTTAGATCCCAATCCCTCTTCTGTGACCTAACCCTGGGGAGTGATAAAGATGTTATTAAACTTGTGATAAAGATGTTATTTGATGTATTTATATGTAGAGGGTGCTTATATATTCAAACTTTGTAACTTTTGTGTGCTTTGAAAAACGTCTCGAATCACTATATCCATTGTGTTTTCAAAGTGTTTCTTTTAATTATTAAGCAATATTTTGGGATTTTTTTCCTGAAAAAAGGAAAAGATCACCTGCCAAAAGACCAAATTCAAGCGTTCAGAAGAATATTGTATTTTTTAAAGGAAAAACAAACGCCAACCACTCGAAAAGTTAAAAGGAGGAATTTAAGATTGATTATGTGAATATCATCTTAACAACCCATTTTGACCAAGAAATCATAAAAAGAGTCCTGAACATAGAAAAGTCTATCCCAGCTGAGTCTTATGTTGTTTAAATGACTGGTATCAGTTTGCCTGTTTTGCAAAACACAGTTGATGCTGAGCTGTAATAGAGACCTCTCCCTTTGGAGTGGAATTAAGCTGCAGCTTGTCTGGGGCTGTGGGTAAAACCTTTGGAGGTAGAAAAAAACTGAAATATTTCCATAGAATTTCCGAGACATTAGGTGTCCCACTTCATTCCATACCTTGAGAATTTACAGAGCTGACTGTTTTAATAGGACATATATTAGCTTTATTATGCAGATAATTTGACTAAGTAAGATTCCAAATGAACAATCTCTGGAAAGATGTAGTCCAACACAGGGCATTGCTGCAAATGTGTAGTTTTCTCTTTCACAGTATTTTTGAAAATAACTTCTTAAACCATAAAAAAGGGTACTGTAAATTGCATATCTAACAACTGATAGGCAACAGTAATGTTTGTATATGAACACATTTCACGTTTGATACATTTCCTGAGGACAATTTATCTAAACGAGTTTAAATTTAGAGATGACATGGTGAAATTTATTCTTAGAAAAGCAGACATTACATATTAACCCCCACCAGAATACTAATATTGCTACATGAGAACTATTTTGTAAAGCACATAATTTATTGTTAAGATTCAATTCTCCAGAGACTAAGCACTTCTGGGATTGCTGCTGTCTTTCTCCAGCTGTTGCTTGTCAGCTTGAAAAGCTCTTTAGATCACGACTTCAGATTTTACTTCAGGCTGCTTGCAGACTTACAGTACCATTAGTGAAATGTTGTATTAATGAATAATATTAGTTAAAAAGTTATAAATGTTTTTATGTCGGTTTGGAATAAAATGTATGTGCTCCAGTTATCACAAACTGGTCAAGAGAGTGTGACCACTGCTATGCTCTTATTTTTAAGAATAAATATGTCTGATAGTTAGATTTTTCTCAACTAACTCGGAGGGTTGGGGAGAAAAAGAGACATATTCCCCCCTTCTCCTTCCACTAAATAAATCTGAACCCACCAGAGAATCCCTACTTAACTGGGATTCAGAGTTATGTTTATTGGCACCCAAAAGTCTCATTGATAATCAGGTCTGGGAAGTTCTAATCTTCTGCTGTATTTAGGCAATACCAAGGGACCTAATATTATAATTGCACTAGAACACCCACTTTTTATTCATTATTGTTGCTGCTTTTTGTGTACAAATCGTTTGTGTGTGAGCACTGAAAAAAACACACGAATTGACTGATAAACTGTTTTAAATGTGGAATTATATCTTGCATTCATTCAAATGTAATGTATGGATCTCTTTTTCTTTGGCGAGAATTAAAGGGAAAAAAAAAGAAAAAAAAAGATTTCTGGAAAAATTATCACGATAAGATAAATTATTAAAATCTTATTAGGATAAGATTTGTGGAGGTGTGGGAAACTCACGGGAATGTTTTGTTATCAAGCTGCAGAATTTGCATGGTAATTACTTTTTCTTCCTGTCTTGCTGTGCAGGAAGATGCCAATAAAGATTTTATCAAGAGCAATATGCCAAAGGGGGGTATTTTGAGAAACCAGCACTAGGAAGGGGAAGTCACCCAGGGGCAGCACTGGCAGTGAGGAGGAGATGGTGGCAATCAGGATCCTGGCTGCCAGGGCGCTGCCCCGGAGCCTGGTACATGAGCCAGGCTTTGCCCCAGCTTCCATCAGGCACCAGAACTGTTCCTGTCCGTGTCTGCTGCAGCCTGGGGTGTGCCCAAATCCCAGCTGGGACTGTGCCCTGGGTTACATCACCTGCTGCCCTCAGCTCCGGGGACAATCCTCCTCACCTCGTGGGGTTTGGAGCCGATTCCTGTTTGTTTCGGTGCCTCCGATGAGGCTGAATGTGGGAGAAATGAATATTTCAGCCAGGAAAAATTATCAAAATCCTGTCCTGCTTTAGCGAGGCACAGAAGAAAGAAGGGGTTGGGTGTTGGTTTCTGTCAATGCATATTCTTTTACTTTTCCTGCTTTAACAAGTGCCTTTTTAGGCAGGAGGAAAGGTCTGGTAACAGCAATAGTCATTGCAGATATTAACCCATATTGAAATTACGACAATTGCATTGTATTTCAGGGTCCTGAAATTTCTTTTGGCTTTGGTGTCATGCTTTGAAGAGATAATTTTCCAAAATTATAATAAAATATTTTTCATTATTTGAGTGAACATATGTTTCTTAGTGGTCCTTCTTTTTACAATATTATGTATACAAGTACAAAAAAGCATCTATTGAATTTTTCAATTTTTCTCCTCTCCTCTCCTTCATTGCCCATTATTTATTTTGATAAAATGTGGTTA